TTTTTGGTCTTAAAATCATCATTAGTATGTGTAGATGTCTGTGAAAGCAAAAATATGCCTGGTAGAACTTTGCTTTCTCACAGAATTTCATCTTTTTAAAAAGGTAGGCAGCCATTTTTCACGTTGCCATGGAAACTGGTTAGTGTATTTTATTTGTTATGCCTTGTTTCTTGGTTGTTTGTGGGCGGTTTGAATTTTTTTTTGCTGATTATGTAAATCCACAACCTGAGGGACTGGTAACAAGTTAAGGCCTGGTCGCATAGCTATTCTAGACCACATTTCTCTTCACTGTTCGAAAACATTGCTATATAGAGCTGAAAACACATCAAAGATTCACACTTTGTTTGTATTTTATTTTATTTTGTTGCTTGTTGGTATCTGAAAATAGTCTCTTAGAGATTATATTTTCTTTGCAATGCCAAAAATATAAAAAAGCGGCATTTCGTGGCCAGAGTCGATGGGATGTTGACACATCAAATTCAAACAACAGCGTGTACACCAGTGCTTGCTTCTGTATGAAAGGTATGAAACGAGTCAGAGTAATGAAAGAAGCGAAGATTTTGATGGGGCCACACAGCTATAGACTGATTGAGCTGTCAAATTTAGTCAGTGCGTTTCAGCCTTTAGATATAAAAATTGGCATCAGGAGGAGAGTTGAGAGTAGGCGAAGACGAGGCCGTAGATTGGGAATAGCTCTGTGATCAATGTAGAGTGTTCCAAGTGCGACGTCAAGATCGAGCTTCAAACCTCTAGGAACAACAGCCAAGTGTGAAAACCCCAAAATAACATGGACGCAAACAGGCATACGGTTTACTCAGGAATGGAGATGGGTGTAGGAAGAGAGGCTATGTCAGTTATGTGTGACATTTTCAATATCCCCCCCCCCCCTTGCCATTATAAAGCTTGGGACCAACATGTTGCTGCACTGTATGTGGCCCACAAGAAAGCTGTTGCGGAACAGTCACAGAAGGCGAGAAACAAAGTGTTTTGACTTCATCGCTCTGATGAAACTGATGTTGCAGAGATTGTGGTGAACTACGATGGTACGTGGTCCAAACTAGGATACACAGTTAATATCCGGGTTGGTTTTGTCATCTCGGTTAAAACTGGCGAAGTACTTGATTTCAATTTTGAGTTGAAGCTGTGCTCAGAGTGTACATCAGCAAAGAAGGATCTTGGTGAAGATTCTGCTGAGTATGCCATTTGGTACGGTGGACGGTGGGTGATGATGAAGATGACTTTGATGATGAAGATGACTATCCGTTAGCCAGATTTGCTCGTAATGATGAGTCTAATGACACTGATGATGCACCATTGGCTCAATTTGCCAGTAGAAATCGAGAAAAGTGACTGGGACATTCTTGCAATGATAAGTGTTGACTTTGGACAGGTACATTGCACCCAAACATCAGAAAACACTAGCAACAATGTTTACTAACTTTAAATGGCGTTTTCCCAAAAACCGTTCTTTGGCTAGCAGCCGTTACTTAAATCCTATCTTCTCGAAGAGTATTTAAGCAATCTTCCTGATTTTTTCTGAGATTGTTCTTTGGATGTTTTTGCACAAATTAATGGATGCTTTTTACACTCTAATCAAAATTGAATGTTCTACACCAAAATTGGTATTGATGAGTAAGATCCTTACCTAATACTTGTTGCCATGGCAACAAAATAGAGAGTTAGACAAAAAGCATCCATAATTTTGTTCACAGGGATGTAATCTATTATTCAACTTAAATTCATCAAGTTTGGATGCTTAGATTTTGACTAGATAGATTTTAAATATAGAAAGTTGAAAATTCACTTCTCTGGTTTGCAAGGTTGTTATACATTTACGTTTTTTCTTGGGAGGTCATCTGTGATAATATTTGTGTTGACCATGTTATAAGCTTCGAAATGATATATGGCATGTTGCATATCGCTTTATTCTATACTACGAATATTCTCAAGTTACACAATAACATGCTCAGGTTCATATCATGTATAATTAATTGTACATTAGTTCCGGTAAGGTGCGTTTACGTAATCTAACAACAATACATTTATTTGTACTCGAACATTACAAGTTAAAGAAGAATATAAGTAAACACACTATAATTAATTACGATTGATGAGTACAGGCCACCTGAAATCACCATAGGGGCTAGACGAGTCAAGTGACCTTTATTATTCAAAATATAAGTAAATGGGTTTGGTCAAGATTATGCAATATTTTTATAGGAAAACGAACAAGAAACAAAACACGAACAAATAGCAAACAAATAGAAAAAAATATATAGAAAAAAGAGCAAAAAATAAATCCTGACTAATATCTTCATCATTTTAAATTTTTGGATTAATAAGAAACAATTATATGTTCTTTCAGTTTTCTTTTAAAGGTTTTGAGACACAGAGACTTCAAAGATTCATCGACAGAGCTCCGAACTTTAGGTCCACAAAATCTAATATTAAATAGTCCGTAATTTGTACGAACTGGCGAGATAGCATATGCATTTCTAAACGCTAAACGGGTTGTATAGTCATGGTTATTTTTAATCAAGGTAAAAAAGCCACAAAAATCAGCCGGAAGATTGCCCGAACCATACTGAAACATGAATGATGCTGTATTGACATAAACTAGATCCAGAAATTTTAGCAAGTTCAATGCCTTAAATATTGGGGAAGTGTGCTCACGGAAACCGGAAAATGTCATTATCCTCATAGCCTTCTTTTGCAGGATCAATAATGGGTGCAAATTACTCTTGTATGTATGTCCCCATACCAGGACAGCGTACATAAGAAATGAGTAGATTACTGAGTAATAAACTTGAATGAGTATCAATTGAAACAAAATCATGAAGTTCAAATAATATGCCAATACCTTTGGATATTTTTTTGCGTAACTCAAAGACATGATCCTTCCAGTTCAAATTACAATCTATAATAACGCCAAGATATTTGACAGTAATCTACTACAAAGGTTACGATTGGTTGTCACATTCCTCCTTTTTTCAGATAGTCACTGTAATTTATAAATCTAGTTGTCTTTTTTGGAGTCCTGACACTAATCATCTAGAAAAGTAAATATAATTTTTTTTCAGTCAATGTACTAACTGTTTTTTTTTAATTAGTTAATGTTCTACTTTATATAGTCTCTATACTTCCCTTGATAACTGCTCTTCTTTAGTCTTTCCGATCTTCACAAATTGTTCTCACTTGTTGTAGCTGTTGTCTCACTTGTTGTGGCTGTTGTCTCACTTGTTGTGTCTATAGTCTCACTTGTTGTGTCCTGGATGTTGCTGCCGTCTGTGTCCTGAGATGTCGTCCTGGATGTTGTGGCTTGGTAGCTGCTTGGTACTTTTACACTCGCCGTTTCATCGTTGGCTTTTGACAATTGAGCTGTTCTAAGTGGTTTAACCTTCGATGCATCTCTGCACTTAACTTTTCCATCCTTTACACGTCTCGCACGGATGGTTGATCCTCTTTTATGCTTGTCACAACGTATATGTACGGCTCGTACGGTGTATGTATCTTCCTTTTCTTCTCTCTCTTTATCAAAACTGCATGACCGCACTTGATTGTATGTGTTTTCACTCTGTGACGTTCATCGTGGTACTGCTTACATTTCTGTTTGTAGGTTTTGTCATTCTTCTTGATCTCATCTTGGGTGATGTGAACTTCGGTGGGAAAATGTTCCAATCGTGTTTGAACTTGACGGTGCATCAAAACCTCGTACGGCGTTGACTTTGTTGCCGGATGGGGTGTCTGTCTGTATGCTTGTAACATATCATATATTGCACTCTCGATTTCAATTCCTTCTTCACAGGCAATCTTTGTTGTTTTGTTGATCAGCTTATTGAAATTTTCCACTTGGCCCTGCGCCTTCGGATTTATTAGTGTTACTCGATCGCTTGTGATGAAATCCCATTTCTTCAGCAAAGGCTTGGAATTGTTCACCATTGAATGGTGGACCGTTATCAGTTTGTAGTATTCGAGGTATTCCATGGGTAGAAAAAATCTTCTTCAATTTCTTTGTCACTGGTATTGTGGATGTAGATGTTGCCATCTCCACTTCTGGATACCGTGAATATTGGTCAGTAAGTACCAGTGCAAATTTGTGGTTAGGCAGTGGTCCACAAAATCAGCTTCTACCACATCCCATGGTCGGTCTGGTAACTCTGTCATCTTTGCTGTCTCGGTATGGTAGTGATCTGTAGCAATCTGGCAGTCGAAACATGTTTGTACCGTATCTGTCATTCTGGTATTCATTCCAGGAAAACAGTACTTTCTTCGGATCATTTCTTACGTCTTATTCACTCCGAGATGTCCTTGCTTGTGAGCTGACTGGATGATTATCTGCCTCAGGGACTGGGGTGGTACAATACGGTCCATTCGCATGATTACTCTATCCGCGACAAAGAGTTCATGTCTGACTTCGTAGTAGGGTTTCAAAAACTGCTTTGCTTCACTCCAATTTCCGGTTTCAATCGTTTCGGTCAGTTCGCACAATTCCTTGTCTTCTGCCGTGGCTTTCTTGATTTTCGACCAGACTATGGCGTGATCTGCTTGGATCGCTGCGTTGACATGCTTCTCAATAAGGTCTTTGCCAGTTTCTAGAAGAGGGTGTCGTGATAAATAGTCGGTCATGTTTCTCTTTCCTGATATGTGGAAAGCTTCAAAATCCAGGTTCTGCATCTTGATTATAATTATTTCAATTCGTGGTGGAATTTTTGCTTTGGGGTTGTTGAGAAGGGAAAGTAATGGTTAGTGGTCAGTCGCTAGCTTAAATTTTGGTGCTTCGAGTAAGTACATCTGCAATCGATTTGTGGAGAATTCAGCTGCTAATGCCTCCCTTTCGATTTGAGAATAGCATTTCTCTGCATCGGTCAGTGTTCGGCTGACGTAATGGACAGGCTGAAATCCATCTGCTGTCTTTTGGAGTAAGGCTCCACCGAGGCCCTCTGGACTACCGTCGACAATGACTAAGGTTTCTCTTCCTGGTTGATATGGAATTAGAACTGGTGCTGTTGTTAGCATTGTTTTCAGGTCCTCAAATGCTCTTTGTTGCTCTGGACCCCACTCGAACTTGGTGTTGGCTTTGGTCAGTCTTCTTAGAGGCTCGCATCAACCTGAGAATCGATCGATGTACCGAGAAAGGTATGCAACCATCTGTAAAAATGATACCAATCCTTCTTTGGTGTTGGGTTTCTGGAAGGCGTTGACAGCACGGACCTTGCTGGCACTCGGCTTCAATCCTTCTGCAGTGAATAAGTGGCCATGGAATTCAAGTGTTGACTTTCAGAATTCACATTTCCCTTGTCTTAACGTAAGGTTGTAGACCTTTAGTCGTCCCAGCACTATCTTCAGGTTCTTGTCGTGGTCAGCAAGATCTACA